GTCTGTTTACAACCTTAATGAAATCTATTTAGCAACATATTCTTTTCTACCAAATTGACCAAACTGTAATGTTTCTTACATGATTTATTCTATGGGTTTCATATGATTTAAATGTTTTAGTAGTTTGACCCTAAATTAGGTGTGGTAAGGGCCACTCGTCACACACGCCTCTTCACTTACGAATAGATTTTTAAAAAAGACACTTTCATCTGAAATTAATATGTGACAAAGCTAGAACGATCTGTCATACAAACAATCTATACGATAACAACATGTGTTTCATCACAAAAGAACAAAGCTCTCTGCTTTTGTAATGTTATCATTCTCTGTGGACAGAAAATTTTACACACCAGTAATACTGTTATACTTATGTTGTTATTTCTCCTAAGTATGATGCATAGGTTTACTTTCATTGATGTTGCTAGTAAGTCTCATTTACAAATTTATTTTGTTTGTTTTTTAATTTGTGTTAAAAGACTGAGGATAGTTTAATACGATGTATATATTAATTATATTTTAATTGCAGCTTGATAATTATCAAAACGCGCACGTCTTACCTACGCTTAGAAACTAACCATGTAAGCAAATGGTAATTTTATGCTGGGATCGAGTTGTTTATAAAGTCAATGTCAATATATCAAATAAGAGTACACCTTAATTAAGTAAATTTATAGATATAATGTAAACAGTACATTAATTATACACGTATCATTATTTATTGTAGAATCCGAAAAAAAACAAAACAAATAAATACCTGTTGACATAAATTCGGATTTGGTTGTAATTGTACATCACTGGGCGTTTTTAAATAGATTATAATTGCAAAATAAATGTGTTTTAAATAACTGCATGTTATGTATGTAGATTCGGAGGTAATGCATAAAGGGGTGTTGAATCATTTAACGTTGCCTGATCTGTCAAGTGTGTCCTAATTTCATGTTGTCTGTCCCCTTGTGTCATTATGGTTGAGGGAAAGACATCAAGTCAGACCCTCGTAACAGCAAAGGTGGTCCATGGTCCTTTATTAAGTTCGCTGAAAAGGAAGGCTGTTTTTTTTTTAAACAATTGGATCTAACATTAAATAAAAATGGACCTAAAAATGAGCAGCATCATACTGAATGTAGTCATATGGCGTGCATAAATGTTTTATTTGCTTGTTATGGTCGCTAAATCAAAGCAATACACAATGGATATATCTGTGAATGATTTCTCTTTTTGTAACAATTTATGTATTTTAATAAGCAAGTAAGTTAACCACAAACGTTCTTTATCAAGTTTTAAGAGAATACATTTATCATTTATTACATAAATCATCTACGTTGATCTATGTTATTGCTCCGCGCCCACGGCGTTCCCATGTCAGGCACTTTCAGAATTTGTAACTGCAGAACTTGTCAATTCCTTTAATCGACTTCTATTGAATTCATATATATAATTAGTCTTCAGCATCTTAGATTATCATCTCTCTAAGTTGCTATAGAAAATAAATTCAGCGAAATGAAATAGCTTGCTGAAAACTGATAAACATGTGAATAGTTTTTGGTATTAAATTTTACTTATACTTGGCATTTATTATCTTTAAGTATACCTTACCCAAGAATATTACTATATAATTTCACCAAACATCTTTATCTTGCAAGCAAATGCAACATTTTTATCCTCTCTAGTGATAAAGGATCATCTCGGCCATCTTGTTGAAATATCTTATTTTCTCGTTTCCGTTTAGCTTGAATTAAGAAAAACGAACCATTAAAATATGAAATAGATGAAAATATAAACTTATTTGTTACGTTGATTATTTCAAGGTCCTTAATTGATGTGTTTATATTTTGTAATTTTCGTAATGAATCATTGAGTATTAGATGTGTCAGTGAATAATCTACACTCACGGGAACAAACAAAGTGTGAACTTTGTTTCAGTGAATACGGAATGTGCAAAAATGTGTTTGGCTTCTCGACTTTTACAAGTTCTCACACTTCGGTATACATGTACACACGTATCATTCTGATTCGATACTTAAACCTGCAACAAGTTGAAGTCCTATGGAGAAGTCCTATGGAGCACTCAAATTCATATCATTTTTAATTATCGAAACCTGTATTGTTGATGTTATGTTTCCGTTTCCAAAAGGTTACTGATTGTTGTACTCATAGTTGAACTTTCTTTTACTGCTTTAAAACATTTTTTTCATTAAGGACAGTTAGAGTGATATGTATGTAAGTCAAAATAACCACTTTGTGGCTACTTTTATGACAAATTATTTCATTTTCAGTGTTACTTTCGTCATGTTATAAGCAGCAAACAGGCTCTAAATCCATTATGAAAACAGTGCTAAAAGTCTAAATGCCCTTTATAAAAAGAAAAGAATGAAATTATTTCTGAGCCTTCATATACCTTTAAGGTTTGCAGATCTTTGGATATTTATACACACTGTTCACGCTTGTTTAAAATGAAATTTGATATCAAAATTGTCTATCTTTCTTAAAAAATTCTCTCTAACAAGGTGCACATATTTTTTCAAAACTTTTATACGCCCAAATAAAATGTTATGCTGGCAGTCTGTCTATCCGTTCGTCTGGTAGCAATTTTGTGTCCGCTATGTATCTTTTTAACTGGCTGAAGGAATTTGAAACTACTTTCAAAATCATTAACTCCTAATTTAAGTCTACTTGTATCCGCCTATGAAGTTTCAAGTTGATACCTCAAATACTTGTTGAGCTATGCTAAAATTAAAAATGAAAAATAGCAAAGGGCAATAACTCACAGATAATGAAGAGTAGAATTACCATTCTTGTGCACTGTACTCTTCCTCCTGTCTAAAAGTTTTTGAGCTGAGCTGTCGACAACAATGTATGACGCAACGAATGATGGCCAGATGTTAACAGCCTTTTCGGCTGAAGATAATAAAACGTCTCAATGGCAGTTGTAACCCGTATGTACAATTGTATGACCTTGACAATGTTTGTTTTTGTTTTTTAACCCTGAAAGGTCGCGATAAAGCAAAAGTAAACATGGAAAGGTTTCAGATAGAAATATCAGATTTCTTTTATTACATTCTTGAACAAATCCATCAATATTTAGGCAAAGATATAACATGTGCATATAAAGAAATAGTAAAAAGAACGTAAAAGTACATCTGACATAACAAGAATGTCAATACCGTAACTGTTATATCTAGATGATACACTCAACAGAGAATGTGCTTAAATTAACTGTATACTCGTACTTCAGAATGTCATGCATATACAGTATTTTCTGCTATTGTTTTGCAATATTGACCTGAGACATTTGAATATTCAATGACCTTTCACTTGCAATTTTCGGATTCTGAAGTAAATCGTAAGAATTTTAATGTATGGTTCAACCGTGTATGTATAACTTAAAATGATCAGCATAAGACTAGACTTGCTTGCATCAGTCACAAAGTAACAGACTTTCAGTTTCATATGAAAGGTTGAACGTTCAAATCATCGTAATATTTTTTTTCTTCTTTCTTCATTTTCTTGAGTAATACATTTATCATATTTTACAGAACTTGAGCACTATGTGACTTAACATGCGAATCATTCATTGTACGAATTTACATATCAAGTTTAATGAAACGAAAAAAATATATACATTTAAATTTGTTCATCAAAATTTTTGAAAACGCTTAAATTTAAACACATAATTATCCATCTCAACACTTTTTGCATTTAAATGAAATCTACAAAAATGATTTGTCTAAGATTACCTGCAACTGTATGGTTACTATTCTGTCTTAACACCAGCCCATCGGATTGTTAGTATCGACAATATCGTATTAATTATGGAAACTAACGGGGGAAAAAACATCTGAACATTAATGAGTCTTAGGTCAATATTGCCGAAACATTATTTTTTGGATACTACATATGACTGTGATTTAATTTGTATATTTCATTTAGTTAAAAATATACAGGCAAAAGTTTTCATGGGTATAAAACTGACCTTCACGGTTACGATTAACCTTGGCCATTAAATTTAAGTGCATATTCTTTCATTCAAGGTATTCTGGCTTCAAATGTATATATACCTTGAAAATGTATAAACACAATCATGTTAAAAAATCTAAAAAATACTATACACAATGACAATAACAAATAGTATGACGGATAAAGTATTAATGAGGTGGAACGACACACACTAACACAAAATTTCAGCTGCTTATATCTTTAAAAGCTCATTGTCCCCGCATTTATAAATCTTGTTTTGGTTATTTGTCATTAGATGAAAAGAATGTCATGCTATTAAAATTCTATTACTTAAACTAAAACTGTATATTTTTAAATACATTTTTGAATCTCACTTAATGATAGCTTTTTAATATCGGATACAACTTTTTTGAAATAAGCTTTTAAATGACTCGATGGCTTGTCTCTTTTGGTTTATAAAGGTCCATCATTTCTCAGAATTGCTTTAATTTCTCAAAAGTACTTTTTGTGTTTGTCTTGTTATAGTTTCAAAATGGTTACATATTACCCAAGTACTGTTTTGTTTATATTTTACTGCTTTGTTGACAAAGAATTTGACATAAATTGCTACATTCTTCAGATGATAAGCACGAAGCATATTCTTAAGTCTTTATTTAGCAATTACAAAACTCACGTTTTCCCCCTTTTTAAAGAAGGATTGATAAATTCATATCTGAGGTATAATGTGTTTTAAATTACTCTATAATTACGGCTTTTGAAACCAAGCTTGTGTCCAGCACTTTTCTAGTACAAGTCTTGTTATAGATACCGAGCAAGTCCAACCAAGTACAGAACATGCAGTCATGTGTTTTTTAAGGTAGTTTCCTTTTAATATAATATACAGCTGTCCCAAACATCAGAATATATTCAGAATTAGTCTTAATATTTTTATACCAAAGTTATCGAGGAAGGCTGATTGAGAGTTTTAATTTAATTTCATATTATCTCGATTAATCGAAGCTGGTACATACGAAAACTTTAAACATAATTTTCTTGACGAAATTCTTTCATTTGTTTCTCCTTTCACAAATATATGTCCATGTTTCAGAGCAGCTCCTCGTCACCCAGTAGTAGCTGTTAAGATTGGAACCAGTCAGAAGAACACAATTTCTAGCTGTATCAGGTTGTCCATTACCGAATTTATTAAAACTCAGTGGTGTCATATCTGGCCAAATGAATTCTTCTGAACTCACTTTATTTAACCCAATCCACACCAGAACTAATGTTCCGGGGAACATATCTGACAACATCACTGATATCTCGTGGTTGTCAGATTCGCTGGCAATCTTCACTAAATCTCCATGTCCGCTGAGACAAATATCTCTACCGCCATGCCATGCTTCTTCATAAAGCAATAAAAGGCAAGATGTTGTTGTGTTTCTTCCAAGTCCACAGTGTCCCTTTTCAAAAATACTCCATAAAGAGTCTTTTATTATGTTACTATTGTGAAAGTCTAACGGTGTAGTGTTAATTTCACACGTTTCATTATAGTTAATGTTGAAAGAGACACACCCCGACATCATATAACAAATATAAGCACACTCCATGGTACGTGTATTGTAAAATGTTTTATAAACGCTGGTGCACCGAAATCCACCATCCCATTTAATGTATTTCTGTCGTAAGTTAACTTCTTGCGATGATTTATTAATCGCAACGAAAACAAAAATGATTCCAGAATAAAGTAAAACCTTAACAACTTTGCAGATAAGAACTCCAAAATTCGAATTATATGCTATCACTTTCATTTTCACGACAGGGGTAAAGACTCTTATGAAATCCTCCTACAGCTAAAGGATGGGAGACTGAATTTGTTAAATATTCACAATAGTTCTTATGAAACATTAATGAAAGCTTAAAGCCGATTGGTAGATAACTTGAGGGCGTGTTCAGAAATCAACGTCATGTTGTTTCTACGATAATAACTGTTGTTGAAAACATAGAAATGTCATTAAATTCGAAAGAAAAAAATATTTAGAATACCAAGGCATAGGAAATTTTTGTAACAAAAAGCAACACCAAGGGTTCCTTACTATGATTATTCAATTACAGAACTCCGACTAAGTTCACCAGGGTACTAAACGACAATAGTATTATAAAAGTAAGGTTAAAAGCGTTTGATCGAAGCAGCTTCCCATAAAAAAGTATTCCACTATCGGTCAATAAATGTAAGGATTTATAAATTGTGTTATATTCTACCATTTTCTATCCAATCACGAAACCCGTACAAACGCACCAGACCAGTAACTCCTACTCACTGTAGTCCAGTTAAAGCTTGCAGAAAGAGATATCATGCATTATTATGTAGTTTCACCGGTGAAAAAGCGATATCACCGAGTCATTAATTCTCTAAAATGATCGACATTATTCTTAAACAATGACAATATGACATAGGAACTTGGTGACGATAATCAAATTACGCACAAAAGGGTGTTCATCTTTTTACTGAATTGTTGAAATACCCAGGCTATATTTTCATTTAAGAAGATGAAATCGCACAATCTAGAAAGTATAGACAAGTGCTCTTGATGACAATAATTTTTGAATACTCTGTTACAATCCCTCTCAAATATAGGAGGAGTTGTATAAACCTTCAGAATAATTTGTTAACACCGACCCGCCAGTATTACTTAATTAAGTAACCAGACTTTTTCTTTGAAAAACCGGGTCAAATCACTAACAAAATATATGACACAAGAAGATAAAAAGATAGATATACTAAAAGTCCATAAAAGATATAAATATTATGTCAGCAAAGTTATTCAATTAGCAAACAATTAGCTAACTCATTTGACAACTCCACTTCTGTCAATAAAAGTGTTTGATGTTGAATGTAATTCGACATAATTTTAAGCTACGTTTTTCAACAATTCATTTTTTAAAAAAAGATCTCTCCCACAGGATTAGAAACTATTAAACAATTATGCTATATATGTTATAATTAAGTTAATTTGTTTTCAGTGTGGTGACATCAAAAGCTGTACGTCATGTTTCAATTCGATTAAAATTAACGAACGAGCCGAAACAAACATGAACATTCAGTAATTATTTATTGCATACGTTTCGGCCATATGCCTTCATCTGGAAAGGATTAAAGATGTATCTATAACGTAATAAAGAAAAGTGAAAAAAATGTGGAACGACACATTAGCACTTAATCCTTAACCATTTCGCCTAGGAATTTAAATAACAGACTTTGTATCAACGTTTTGGGGAAGTGGATTTTTTTTATTCATGCCTATAGTATTTTCATCGCAAAGTGGTTACAAGTATTTGACTTCCTTCCATTAATGGCAAAAGGCTGTTTTTTGTCACATTTTTTATCATACTGTAGTCAACTGTTTCGAATTCTGTCTTGAAGAACTTCCTCCCCTATCTGTTTAATCATAAAACCAAATAAGTACTTACAATTTCATACATTTTATTGAAAAAAAAGAAAGTATAAGCAAATGGAGAAGTTCATATTTAGGAAATTTAATCAAAGTAACTTATTGGAGTCAAGTTATTATTTTCTTTCTACATCTTCTAATGTTTCATTTCTAAAATTTATCTGAAACATTCCTTATAGGTTAAATGTATGTCTTATATATGTTACCTCATTATAACTTTCACACGGGTGTTAATTGTAAGGTGAAAGTAAATTATTGTACGGCGTCTAATGAGATCTTGGCGAACATTAACCTGAGAAATAATGGGAGCCCTGATAAGGTATCATGAACAGAGTCTTTGTAGAATATAGTTTAAAAAAAGATATACATTTTCAGAGATTTTAATCTACGTAACATTTTCAATATTTTTGACATACAGGACATGCATAATTTAGAATAGAACTCACAAAGGAATCAAATAAATGTTAGAAAATGTAGGTAGGCAATATCACTGTATTACAGGCTTTCCAGTTATGCATCGACTATGAAACATCAGGCCTTTGTACTTAAAAGTAGTCATGAATATTTAAAATCTTTTACTTTTTCTAATCGTTAGAAATCGTTAGTAATCATAAAAATGTTTATCACTCTGCGTCACAGACTTCTTTTTTTTCTAACCATGATTGCACTGTACTTTTGCTTTCTAAGGGCCTAGTCTGTACTATACTTACATGTATACATTATCGGAAATGAATGTATAAGGTTGATATGATTATACAAGAAATTACAATCATGAACATTGATTTAAAAACTACTGATCATACCTGAATGTATCTATCAAACGATTTCCAAAACTGTTTATAGATATGAAGATGGGCTGAGGCTATGCGGGAGTAACAGCGATTAAAGCATCCGTAGGAAATCATTGGAAAATGGTTCATTGGGCAAATTCGACTGATAATTTGTGTGTGTTTTCCTTTAAATAACAATTTAATGTCATTTGTTGAACTGTATGAATTTCTGAAAAAAAGTGCCGATCAAGATCGAGCAATGGGCTTAATAAACCTTTTTATACTACGATTTTTTTTTCATGCATTTCGCGCATTCGCATTCTGCAGAGGTCAAAAGACTATATTTTATCATATACTGTGCTCCTCTTAACTCACGGTACTTAACACTTTAAAACAGTAAAGAACACAAACAATAAACTTACACTACAAAACTGTCATAAACTGTATCATTTAGTCATTTTTTCTGCTATATGACACAAGGAAACAACAATATATTCAATCAAAATTAGTTTTAATTTGTCAGATGTAAACCGTGTGTCGGCCATTTTGAAAACAGTATGTCATCATTTACCTCGCGGTAATGGTGTTTTATTTCAGATATTTCATGTTTCAGTAAAAATTTCTTTAAGTTATTTTGCATAATTTTAAATATTAAAAGTATTTTTACATTGTAACTCAAAATTTATTTTTTCAACAAACAAGAACATTTAGAAAATGATGATTGTTTCAGACGTATGCACAAATTTAATGGACTATTGTTGTTTTTTGCAGAAGTTTGTAAAATGTTGTTCAGTCTTACGTAAAAATCTATAGATTTAAATTATTTTGCACAAAAACTTTGTTGTTAAGGTGTTTGAATAAAATATGTCAATTCTGACCAATTTTAACACTGGTCCTTACCGTGAGATAAGTGATGACGCGAAATTAGTGATGTTGATTATACTTCAAGGTTTTAATTGACTCTTACTTAAAACGACCTACGTGAATTGATATTTATAACAGATATACGAAAATATGCTGGACTAATAATCCAATGATCAAAAAGAACAGTATGCTATGAAAAAAATTAAATACTAACAACTGATACATATTTTCATTCTCTACTGAATGATTGTAGAGTCATAAGAGGACAGACCATAATGGCACTTTGTTAGAAGTTTAAAATAAAATTATGACATAATAAACTAAGCTGCTTGCAAATGGAATCCGTATATCTTTTTTTCTTGCTTGTGTAATAGCGAGCTCGAGGAGCTGGCCCGAAGGGCCTTCTCGCAAAGCGAGCTTTACGGTAACGCGAGTACCTGCTAGTTAGTGATGGTTTTGAAAACTTTCGTCCGAAGTACTGAACTGACACATCGCAACTTTTCGAAATTCAAGATAACGATAAAAATTCGAGGTATTCTGGTTGAATTATTTTATAAAAAAGAAGATCCATTTCAGAAGAAAAATTATAGGCCTGTAAGTATTCTGCACACTTTCTCGAAGAGTTTTGAACAATCAATAAATAAACAACTAGTTTCATTCTTTGATAACATTTTTCATAATTTTCTGGCAGCTTTTAGATCTAAATTTGGATGTCAAACTACCCTCTTACGGCTAATAGAAGACTGGAAAAATGCCTTGGATAGACATGAGTATGTAGCAGCAATACTCATGGATCTGTCAAAGGCATTTGACTGTCTCCCACATGAATTGATTGTTTTGAAACTTGAGGCCTATGGCTTATCTGACACAGCTTCAGAACTTTTGCACAGAAAACAAAGGGTGTCAATAAGTAAGGGAGTTCCCCAAGGATCCCTTCTAGGGCCTCTTATTTTTAACATCTTTATTTACGACATCTTTTACTTTATTAAATCAGCCACTGTGCACAATTATGCTGATGACAACACATTATCTGACTGTGATACCAATATTGACTCTTTACAATCTATACTGGAAAATGAAAGCTTATCTATGATCAAATGGTTTGATAATAATCTAATGCAAGCCAATCCGGACAAATTTCAGGCAATTTGTATTGGAAAACAAACAACTAGCAAATTAACCTCTTTTTGTCTTAATAGTACAGAAATTGTCTGTGAAAAAAGCGTGAAACTTCTTGGTGTTGAAATAAACTCTTTACTAAATTTTGACTTACATGCATCTAACATTTGCAAAAAGGATGCAAAACAAATCAACATTCTTGCTAGACTGAGTAAATTCTTAAATCAAAATACTAGATTGTTAATTTACAAATCCTTTGTTCGTTCAAACTTTAACTATTGTCCTTTAGTTTGGCATTTTTGTAATAAACAAAATACTGAAAAAACTTGAAAAGTTACAACATAGATCATTGAAGACTTTTTTAGGATTACAGCTCAT